TCTGCTGGTGTTTGGGTTCACCTTGCTTTAATAAACACCTAAATGCAGAGGAGGGCCGGGGAGTGGGGGTTGAAACAAACAGTTTGCACTCCGATCACACGACACATGTAACTGTCATGTTTCTGTCTGAAGCGGACTCGTCCCCGCTGTCTCACAGGTGCATCTCCGCTCCGCCGGCCGGCCGGCCTGCCACGGCTGGCTGGCGTGTCGGCCCGGGCCCCAGATTTACGGCTCTGACACAGGAACCCATTAAAGGCTGTTTAGGGATCCCAGGCCTGAGCCCCTCTGAAATCTCTTTCATTATAGCTCCAAGCTACCATGGAAGAGGAGCGGCTCGGCCAATCAGCGGTGCCGCCACATGTGTTCATGTTTAGCCTGATGGCTGAGAGGCTTAAGTGGCTACTGCACACATCTCCTCCACTGACTTTTATGGAGAAAGTGGCACTTTAACTCTTTGTGTTTTTTTGGTAATAGGGTGCGGATGTGATGGAGTGTGCGTGTTGGCGTGCGCGTCTCTCATGGCCGAACACGGGCCCTAAATGAGGGCAGCGCAGCCACACGTTACATTCCGCCTGTCTGGCTGGCACTGGTGCCACTAATCAGGACCAGCTTGATTCGCAGTTACTCTCCCCCTGAAACTCGCCTCTACACACACACACACACACATTCATTCATCCATACACACACCATTCCCATCAATTCATACAAAGTTCTTCCTCACCTTCCTATGTTTCCTTCTCTCCACTTTCCATTCATCGCCCTGTTTGCTGGTCACATGTTCGGTTGCCTTTGACTGCTTTTCTTTACCTTTTCACCTCGAGCTGGAGTCATTTTCTGTCTGAGGAGTTTCATTATTGTGTATTTGACGCTTCCAGAGTAACAGTGCATGAAAAAAAACATGGAGGTGGAGCTAAGTGCTCTTAAAGATACCCAACCAGTGGTGTGTATAATCCTTATTAACAAAATGCACTGACAATAAAACCACATGTAGGTGCTGAAGTGTGGCAAGATTCTATAAAATTACATTTTGAAAACAAGAAATAAGTCGCTAATTGTGCTTTATGTGAATTTGGGTTGATGACATCACAAGGGGCAGAAGAAAGAAGCCGGTCAGCTGGCATCAGTAAAGAAACTTTAGTCTTTTGAATTTTCTCTTTTGACATGTAAGGAGGAAAACCAGGAGAAGAAATGATTAATTTCAGTAACCATCTTAGTTTTTGACAAAGCAGCTAAACAAGAGTTAATTTTGTCTAAATCATGTAATCCAGCTGAAGTGGACAAAGAGTCTGAAATTGAAAAGTGAAGAGTTAAAGCTTTGGCTCATGCTACATCTTGGATTGGATGAAGAATATGTTTTATATGCGCCAGAACAAATGGAAGCACAGTGGCACAAATGTAAGTCTGGCTGCCCGGTGATCCGTTTTGACCATAATGTATCAGAAAAACATGGCTGTAAATTATCACCAAGGATCTTAGAGTTGTTATTAAACACCTTTGAAGATGGAAATTGAATTAAAAATGCGAATAAAGAGAAAAATGTAAACAATACAAATGGATCCGAAAGGACTCCGAGTTGCCTGATAGGATGTCACCAGAGGCAAAGTGGAGGTCAGATTTGATCCTGTGATAAATTTTCCTGAATGATAAATTGTCTCAGAAGTTATTGCAATAAACGATAATACTGTTGTTTGTAGACCATTTTCAAGTAAGATAGTGGTGATGGTGGCAAAATAAGGCAGGAACACTTCAAAGTCTAATAAACATTTACCACTGGAGCTGGAAAACATTTTAAATATCCAAAACAATTTATCAAAATGTCAGAAACAATGAATAGAATGAATTATGAAGTCTGTGTAAACTAAACTGTCCTTTAAAAACAAAGATCTAGTCGAGACCAAAGCACCAGACTGAAGACTTTTGTCATCCAGTTTTTGGTAGAAAGAGAGAAAAGAGAAGAACAATAAATCATGCAAATGGAAATTATTGAGTTTGTTTTAATTTATCATGTTTGATTTATCCCTTATATTTCTACAAAGAACAGTTTAAGAAGTAGAGAAACAGACCATGGCGTTTTGTTCCAACTCCACTTAGATCCAGTTTGATTTTACAGAAAAGTCTGTCAGCTTTAGAAAGATGCTTAGCTGAAGCTCCTGATTGTGTCTGAAGGAACCGCAGACTGGGGGACAGTTAGAGCAAAAGAAAACAGACACAGAAGGTGAGCAGCAAACACCAAAGAGTGTAAATTAGAAGATGAGAGATAGTGTTAACATCAGTGAACATGAACACATAGTGAGAGGAACATGTGCGTCGTAGTGGAAGGCATGTTAATAAGTGGCCTGGGGCAGATTTGGGCTCCCATGGGGGGGGAGTCCTGCCCTGCTCTGTAAAGCTTCTGTCTCTTCCTTAACCCGCCCATTAAACACGGTACACAGGTGGCTTATTAAACCCACCGCGGCAGACAGCTACGCTCCACACTGATCACTCAGCTCTCTGCTGTGACAAATACAATCACATGTGCTGGTGCCGTAATGCAAATGATCAATGCAGTCACCCGTGTTGCGGCGCTCAAGTGCCTTTTAGCTTATACGTAATGCTGAGCTCGGCAAATTACTGCAGGGGATCTTAAAGGGCTTTCTTTTCCCCTGCAGATCCAAATTTGACAAATTTAGTCTCAACCCTCAGGGTCTGGACTCATTAAAACAAGATCCTTGTTCTCTCTTATGGGGACTCACCTGACACGCACTTTTTTTTTTTCTGTAGTCTTATGAATCCCTCCATCTCTGCAGAACCCTGGTTGTTATTATTACAGTGTAACCGAGACCCCCCGATCCCCTCGGGTCCACTTTTGTTGTGATCATATTATTCTGAGTGTGTAACCACATCCGCTTGCTTTGTTATTCTCATTAACAGCACAACTTAAACAAGTCTCCCATGAGCGTGGGCCCTCGAGATCTTGGCTATGGGCTCGACGATGATGAGTTGGACACTGCGAGCAAGTAAGTAGCTGAAGGCGACGCTTTATTTTTCTTTTCTGTATAAACAAAGATGCCAGATTAGGCAACTTTGGCTGATTGAGAAGTTGACTGCCTTTGGTCCAGACAGAAAGTCATATGTTTCTGTTGCTAATGGTAATACTGCCCTCCAGTGGAGCCATTTGCTTACAGCATCATCTGATGGACACAGCTGCAGGGCTGCTGCAGCTCCAGGGGCATTTCAGTAAATTTAATCCAAAAGGTAATTTGTTTCAGCAAATCAGTTCAAAAAGTGCTCACTGTGGGGTTTTGGTCAGGCCAGTTTCCTGGGTCCAAAGTTTTCAGCACTGGCTGTGCACTGAAATAACCAGAGTGGACCAACACCCTGACTATAGAAAGTTAAGTTATTAATTTATTTTTATAATATTTATTTACACAACTCCCACTGAGATGCTAATTTTAGCATTTATCTTCTCATCTAACCACATATTTTGTTTCTCAGCTCCTGACAGAAAAGCCTTACTTTTATAAAAGCTCAAACATCTGTAAGCGTGTTATGGACACGCTTTGGGGTTTTTCCTCATATGACATTTAAACACTGAAAAATGTCTGATATTCTGCACAGCTGACATTTATCCTGACCTTTTGTGGTTATACTGGAATGGAAACTCTTAATTTATAAAATTTACTGTGCAGGAACCTTGCGTTAGTCACATCTCTTCTTTTTAATATATTACGTTAAATATAATTGTGCCAAGTGTTTTTATTTGTGTTTTTTTTTAATCCAGGATCTCCTCTGAAGACAGCGGCGAGGTCCGTTCGTACACTGAAGACAGCGACGACTCGGACTCCTTCTATCCGGACATCGACCCGTCACCTTCCAGCCAGATGAACCTGCTGGAGGAAATCCTGGATTCTCTGACCACAACAACAACGGACCAAGGAAAACTCAGTGCTGCCAAGAGCTTGGACTTCTTTAGGTCCCTGGATGACTTGGATGACTACAAGGTCCAGGTATGCCAGACAGATTAAGTTAGTCTGTGAGAGAATGAAGATGCAAAACAAAGACTAGAACTTATGGAGCCCCCTAGAGGACATGGGGGGAAATGTTTACTTTTGCATTCCTGCGCAATTCTGTATTTTAGTCAGTTCTTAAATACAGAAAGTCTTTCTGCTGCAATTTATGTTTTCCATTTCCATGTATGTCGATGTCTTGTTTGTGACTTATCTAAAGTTTTGCAACATTTTCTTTTTGGTTAAACGCACCACAAACTTATGTGCAAAATGACAGAGCAAAACAGATCAAACATGGACTTTCCATCCCTACTCCAAAACATAAACATGACAGAAACTTTCTGCAAGAAAGAAGGAATACATCCAAACTGTTTTGACTATTTCTGAGTTGTTTTCACAAGGTAATTTTGCCATTTGACAGTTTTGTTTGTCTGTTAACTGAAGGGTTAAAAAGACACATTTTAATGTGGAGTCCCATCTTCACTGGAAGATATTATATAAACAAACCTTAGTAGATAGATTTTAAACCATTTTTTGCACCAAAGAGTGAAGAGTGAACATGTTTTCATTGAGGCTTTAAAGGTGAACATATGTAGAATTTTAAAATGACATTTGTCATCAATGTGACTGTATGAATGAGGGTGTATTTGCTAGTTTATTGCGAAGGAAGGTAATCGTTTTGTATGGACATGAGGAAAGAAGTTGAAACGCGGAGAGGATAAAATGTTTTGTTAAAATAGATGTATGTAAAAATCCAGGAATGATTCTTATTTGCTTAAGTTTACATTTTTATGTCTTAACAAAACATAAGCTCTGTGTTTGGTTCATCATTTGGAGTGACTGATATAAAACACAACTTACAGACTCTTAGAGTGCAGATGCATTTTCTTTTTTGTAATTCCTGTTTTTTTTTTTTACCTCCTCCAGTCAAAGCCATCGCCTTGCAGCCACTCCACAGCTGCAGACGACGGCAGCTTTGACGGCGGCGCCGATCACGGCGGATGGAACATGGGCCAGGATGACAGCGCCGTCCATGGAAAACACCTTCCTCCGTCCCCACGCAGGCAGCCCAACAAGAGCAGCCTGAAGAGGTCCGGAAACCTCGCAGCCTTCTCTGCAGTGACTCCCTGCTCCGCTTCTCCTCCTTCTCTAGATGCCAACGGCACCAAGTCGGATCCTCCTCCCCTCTTCTCCTCCAAGTCCCGTCCCGATTCCCACCTCATGCCTTCGGGTCGACCTCCAGGAGACCACCGGTTGTCCTATTCCCCCCTGCTGCTCCATAAAGTTACACCCCCATCCTCACCTGCGGCTCAGCCAGACTCTTCTCCGGAACCGACCAGCCGGAGTCGCACCATCTCAGACCCTCAGTGCAACTCCGAGCCCTCCCAAACCCAGAACCAAAGCGGGTCCACCGGCATCCTGAGGAGAAAGGTCATGTCCAAAGAGATGGTGAAAAACTTCCACGAGCGGTCGGTCCGGAGGCAGCGCAGCAGAGGAAACCATGACAGCCAGACGAGCCCAACGAAGAGCAGCCAGGTCCAGGTCCCCTGGAAGAAGGAGGAGGAGGAGGAGGAGAGGAAGGAGGAGAAGGAGACTCCTAAAGACAAGCTGCTGGGCTTTGGGCTGTGTCTGGGTCAGTGTGAAGGCTCGGAGACGGCTGGAGGGCCGGACCCGGGCCTGCTGGAGGAGATAGAGTCCATGTGTTGCCTCAGCTCATCGCTTCACAGCAGCCTGCATCTCTCTCAAGTCCACTGCAGCAACAGCCACCATCAGGTCCAAGGAAAAGCCACAGAGAAGTCCTAAAGATGACAGGAAAAGGAAAACTGACTCAGGTTCCTGTCCTCTGTTACAGCTGATCAGCTGATAAGGGAACGTTATGAACAAACCTAATAAGGGCCAAAACAAACAAAAAGCCTCAGAGCAAAGAGCTGGTCGCGCTGAATGGAAGCACTGCAGAGTTCTCCATCTGTCCTCCATCTACTGGAAGAGAAACTTGGTCAAATAAATTATTTTACATAAAGAATACCTCAAAAACATGGTGGAGAGTGAGTGAAATTATAAAAAGCATCCAATTATGATTCAAATCAGGAATACATACTGATAAACGGTGAAGTAAATTTAAACGCACATACATTTACTAGATATTAATGTTTAAACTTAATCTATAAAATAAATAAGATGCATGAGAATAGGTGGAGATTTCTGCTCAGTTTCAGTTCAGTTTTTTTCTTCATCTGTCTGCAAAGATCTGAACACTAGAGATGCACTGATCACCATTTCCAGGCCGATACCGATTTCTGATCCTCCTCCAGGTCTGAACTGTCGAAGTTGTTTTGTTATTCTGAGGACCATAACACATAAAAGACAAATAAACATCCTGCAGGTTATTTTATAGAGGTATTGTTATAAAATATGGCTTATTCTACGTTATGCTTCAAAGCAAATATTACTAAACATTATCTGATTTTAATAAACTAAAAGTGCATTGACGTTCTTACATTTTGTTGCATTTAACAAAATGTAAAATGCAAAATATTTTACATTTTAAAGACTCAAAAATCTCATTTTTGAGTCTTTGGCCTGGAAAATTGGCTGATTCCAACGTCCAGCCGGTCGATCGGTGCATCTCTACTCAGCACTTTAGCTTCATTTATTTGATGTCAGTACTTTGCAAGGATTTCAAAGGACCAGTTTCCCCTAAACACAACATCATGTTTCGTTGAACTCTGTGTTCTGAAAAATGTCATGCTAAAAATTTGCACTCATGGCTTAATTTCTGATAATCACCCGTTACTACCTTGTACTAAACTGCAAAACCAGCAAGATGCACAATGTCCACGCAGGCCTTTGAAACTAATTAAACTCAGTTGGATTTGTGATTTTGATCACCATGCCTTAAGCGGACATGCGATTTGTTTTGATACTGATGTCTTAAACTTTAGAAATCACTGCAGGTACTTTCTAATCAGAATCCTAAACACAGCAGTTCACATTCACAGAGAAGTAGATGTTCTTGTGCGAATGTTACTCCTACCTGTTAAGACTAAATACCTGATGAAGCAAAGAGTCGCATGACTGAGAAAAGCCAGAGTTTTTACTTCATTTTTCTGTATGTTTCTGTTTCCATCGGCCTTTTGCTGCTCTTAGCATGTTTCTCAACGCCGGCTTTACAAATTGAGAACAGTTGTTGGCGAACTTTGAAGGATGTTGATGAACCCAATCCCACAGTCGGTCCAAAACGAGCTCCGTTCCCGTTATTCCACCTCTCTGTGCTTTTTCCCTAACCTCTGTGTGGCACTTTGCCTTAAGGCTGTTTACGCTCTGAAGATATCAACCACAAAATGGGTCATGAATAGCAGGAATATGTCGTGTTGAAGTTTTTGAAAGATTAATTTAAACTGTGTGGAATCTTGTTGACAGGTATCATGCTTTTGTTTTTCCTTCTTTTTTTTGTCTCTTTTCCTTTCTTTGTGTTTTAATAGGAAATGCAACCTCTGTCTGACTAGGAAACCCTCTGCACTGTACTGCAGGGGAGGACGATTGTACTGTAATGAAGCAATATACTGCAGGTCGCTGCGTGGATGAAATGTGTTCAGGGTCTAAAGTATTTTTATAAGCGTCTCTCCTGTGGAGAGAAGCATCAGCATCCAGGGATCCCGGCTTCGTGTCGTTCTCTGCGTCACCACAAACCCAGAGGAAGAGAAAACGCTTTCGCTCGCTCGGGTTGGGATTACTACATTTATGGTCCGTTGTTCTTATGATTTATGCCAGACGCCAGTCGCTGTGGCAGTTTAATAGCGGCTGTTTCTCCACTTCTCGAGTGCTGCTCTGCGTTAACGATTTGCCCATAAAGTCTTTGGCGTGCTTCTAAAAAGCTAAAAAGAATCAGTCATGGTAATTCCAAGAATGGTTAAAGACAAAGAAAAATACAAAGTCCAGAACAGTTTCTGCACTGGCCTCGCTCACTGTAAACACTTTAACAAACTTGTGTACTATGCAAATATTTAGAAATCTTAAAAGAGGCCAGTTTTCTTCACCACTCGGGTAACTGGGAATGTCCCAGTGAGGAATTACTTTCCTCCCTGATAGTAATCAGTAGCTTAAGATTACGGCATTTGCTGCCACAGAGTCTGAGCCCAATAAGTCTTGAAATAATAACACACATAAGCTTAAATATGCCGATTCGATCAGTTTTGTGATTGTGTCCAACATAACTCACTCATCAGTGATGTGCCAGACGGCAACGGCTATTTTTATCCAACCGGTTTTTAAGCGTCTGCAATGAACTCATGTTTGCTTATGATGGCCATTGCTTGGTCCGGTTTGCTGAGATGCTAGGCTAACACTAGCATGTTTACCCTGATTTAGTAATTTATTGATACATTTGACAGCTATCCAATCCCAAATGGACTTTGTTGATGAGATCTGACTACAGTTACTGTTACAGAAGTTGACAAAGCCACGTCTTGCTCCTGCTGATGAGACGCTCATCTGAAGTCCTGAAGTGCTCGGCTAATGCTAGCATGTCTCAACTTTGCTTAACCAGAACTCTAGCGGATTCTGAAGTCAGTTCTGACTGAACTTGCTAAATGCGGCTCACATTTTATTCCTGCTGATGATTTGTTTTTAATGCATAACAGTTTGCTGAAGTGCTAGGCTACTGTTAGCTAGTTTATTCTTTGTTTTGCTTTGTCTTGACTATGTGAAACATATTTCAACCCTATTTGAGTTTGTAAACTTACAGCTACACTCTTCAGTAAAATCACTTCTTGCTCATACTGACAACTTTTTCATGCTAGTTTAACGCGCATGTTTTCTGGTTACATATTTGGTGGTGTTGACAAAATTTACAGAGAGTTGTTTTCTTGAATTACAAACTTAAAACAACATTCGTTTTAATGTCTAGTGTTTCCGCTGTTCTCCTTAACATTGACAGATGTCTGTGTGCTGCACATAACGCAGACTGGAACAAGCAGCATCCAATACAGTCTCTATTTGACTGTGAATGTCGTTGTAAAGGCTGAAAGGCGCTTCGTTTTGGAGATTAAAACTGTTTTGCAAACTGTGCACATGAAAATAGGTGTTGAGTTTTAAAAATCAGCAGCATGGTTTGCTAGAAGTGGCTATCAGGAGTCGAGTCGGATTCAGATTATTGGAAATGCTGAGATCAGGAGCCCGTCTCTTATAAAGAAATCCGTCCAAAAAAAAACAAAACAACTTTTAACATGTGTGAGTTGACCTTTACGGATGTAGTGTGTGCCTTATGCAGAACGTACCCCTCTGTGTAATCACAACATGGCACTAATTCCTAGACCAACTTTATTGTGGTAGGAACAGAGCATGTTGGGTTTTAATCAACAGGAAATCCCCCAAAATGAACTCTGGTGTCTTGTTCTCACGGCTGTGGTGAGTTTTAGTTTTTTTCTCTTTTGCGTTGGGGTTCGGAAATCTTCCTGCTCGTATTTAAAATAAAAAAAAACCTTTTTTTTTTGTTCTTCTTTTGTAAAGTGAATACTTTCTCTGATTGTACTCATAGCTTAACTGCTTGTATAGTTTGTGTGCATTTTTTTTTTCATTTCACTTTAACATCTTCCTTTGAGTGGATTGAATTAAAATATATGTATAATTTTCAGAGGAGTTTCTCTAGTTGTTTTCATATGGATAAAAAAATTATTTTCAACTGAATAGATGTGTATTTTTTCTGGCTTGAATATATTTTACATGGATTAAATATATGAAATGTACGTTTATGATTGGTGTTGCATATTGTAAAGAGATGACGCCTGAGCTTTGAATGTTGGAGATTTTATTTTTGGAAAACGAGGAGAACATTAAGAAATGTCCCATGTAGCTGTAATAACGGTGCAGAAGGATGTGATGGCTTCTGACCAGAAGAAACGGAGGCTGATGGTTGTTTGTACGTGATGCAGTGCTCACTGTGTAACCTGCATGTTGGTACTGTACACTCTGTCGTGTATCTGTCCTGTTGGTACTCATATTATTTCAGTATTTAAAGCCTCCATAAAATCTGTGTAATTCTCTCCGTGCTTCACATTAAATTAGAAGTCGCCCGCTGCACATTTTTCCTGTCGGGGAAACAGATTTCTGCTGTTTTCTTGTTCCGCTCTGCGTCAGATTAGGGCGCGCTGTGGGAGGACAGGCCCACTTGAAAAGCTTTAGTGAGTTAGGTCCTGAAACCGAGACGGATTTTACATTTCAGGGTTAAGATGACACTGTGTAATGCTCACGGTAATTATATAGTTTTTGTTTTATAATTACAGGTTTGGAGTGAGGGGGGGCAAGGGGGGAGTCTGATGTAGCAGCTTTACAAACATTAACGTCATTTTTCCTGTCTGTATTTGAAGCCAGTGTCAGTGTAGTGACCGCCACGCTGAATGTTACAGTCAGCAGCTTTCTTCAGATTGGCCTCTTCATCAGGATTAACTCTTTGGTTATGATGTTTTCGGTTTTGTTTTGTTATTTTTTGTAACCTTTTTTTCTATTTTTTTGATGGTGTGCACTTTTGCATGTGCTCATCGTGGCTGTGTCACAGCTGAGGTCAATCTAATGTGCTACTGATGAGTAACCTGGTACAACAGCACACAATGTACACACTGTGAACGGGAAATAAACAATGTTTCATGCTCTGCCGTGTTCAGACTGAATTTCTTTGAACATACACCTTCCTTTGTGTCTTTATTTGGATTTGAAATGTTGACTTTAATATTTAATGGAAGGGGTTGAGGAAAACAAAAGTTAAAATTTAGATCTTTGCATGCGTAAATATGCTAAAATTCATTTTTGAAAACATTTAAATTGCTTAAATGCATGTTTTTCTTCTTTTTAAAAAAATAATCTCATTTAAATAATCATCCACCTTATCCATGTAATAATTTGTGGCAGTTTGGGCCACAACAATGAGCTTTTTATTATCTTAACACTTGACAGACAATAAATCAATAAACATTCTAATCAATTGACACAGAAATAAAGTAACAGAAAGTTTAAAAAAACTGTTTTTAAAAGAACATTTATAGGCATATACAGTGTAGAAATAAAGTTTAAGCAATTATTGGCCTGTTTGAAGCACTTGAGTTTTTTTACACTTTGAATCAGTTCTTTAAAGAAAATTGTTCCCTAAAAAAATAAAAGCTGAAGCACTAATTGAGAATCACACATACATTTTAGTCATTGTATATTTTAGTGGCTTAGATCTTTACAGATGTGAAAAAGAGGGGAAAACGGATGCAAAGGTCCTAAAATTACAAATAAATTCCTAAAACGTGTAGCATGCGTCTACATCAGTTGTTTTCTGATCCTCCTAAACTTGATTAAGTGACAAGAAATCCTAATAAAATACATTGAGATTAAAGTGTATTTATTTAATGCATGTATTCTCATACATTTATCTCATAGATGTGTTCAATATAAAACCAGTTTAACATCTCCAGTCAGAACAAAAACTGTTTCTCATTGTTGTTATACCTCTAAAAGGAAAATAAAGTGTATGCTGCATATGTATTGTGCCCCTTTTACTCTGACACCCTTTTAAAAAAAATGCAACCAATTTATTGCATTAAATAGTAAAATAAGTTGAAATTTGTGATTCTAACCTGACAAAATGAAGAAAAGAAATCATGAATCCTTAAGATTTCCTAGAACAAAGTAGGAACATTTTCTGAATTTAAATAAACACATTAAACAGAAATACATTCAGAGTGTGTGCACCTAAAGCTGACCTGCAGCATGCAGGAGCCTGGATTCAGTCATTTGCATGAAATGTTTCACTCAATGAAAGCAGCAGCAGTGTGAAATGTTTCCATGCAGGCTGTGAATCCGTTCTGGTCCAACTGCTTCTCTCAGGTTCGTCTCCAAATCCAACACCTGGATCTCATATGAGTCTCTCCATCGGCGGCGGCTGCGTGATGCTCCACATCTCCACCCGGGATCCGTCTTTCTCCTGCCGGCTGGGGCTGTAGGTGCCGTGGGTGGCGCGTCGATTCAGAGCGGACACCAACCCGACGGAGGTCAGGATCAGCACCAGAAGCAGGAGGACAGATGCCAGACTGATGGACAGCAAGAGGTTGGAGGTCAAACTCTCAGAGGTCAGCTGGAGGGACAGAGGAGTCGCATGTGATTTATTTAAGTAAGTCATATTTTTTTGGATGCTCTTACACTCATTTTTTTTTCTCCCCTCACACTTTTTCCTCCCCTGACTCCTTCACACTACACCAGGCGCTCCACGCGCGCTGCCAGCGTGCTGATGGATGTGTTTCCCAGCACAGCAGGTGGGTTGCGACCACCAGAAGCCTGGAGCTGCCGCGGCCTGAAACCTCCCTCCGTCTGCCGCCTCTCACGCAGCTTGGCTGCGACGAGCGCCAGCCCCAGCATCGCCGCTATCGCCAAGCAGACCAGACACGGTGCCAGCACTGCAGCCACCCGCGAGCTGTGTGGAGCACGCGCCGTCTGTGAGGGATCACAAACACACACACACACACACACACACGCATACACACATACAGCCAAGATGCTGCCTGATGATCCCGTCCTATCAGAACTGGCACCACGATCCATTGTCCCCAAAATAGCTCCCACAAACAAACACCAAAGCCCTTTAAAGTGGGAATAAAAGCGAAATCTGATTCGTCTGAAATCTGCTCCTAAAAGGCACAGAGCATCTTATTGTGGAACCAGAGACCCTGAAAAAACTAAATGTATGAAGGAAACAAATCACAATTGGTCTTTAATTCGTTTTCATGCCAGATAAGTAGTAAAAAATAACCTTTTCTGAAACATAGTAGCTCTTTGAGGCACGCCCACTAAAGCAGCAAAATACTTTTTAAAGCGGCGGTATTATATATTTTCCAGGCACATAGAGCCATTTTATAACACAATCAAGTAACTATGCTACTTTCAAAATACTGCATATATTAAATATCCCTTAAAAAATTGACTTTGCAATTTAACACCTTGAAATTTTTTGCCTCTGTCTCTTTAAGAAGCTCCTGCTCTTTCAGACTCTCCTTCAGGATGTCATCACAACATTAAGTAATTATGCCTTTAACAGCATTATTACCAACTTTTCAGTCAGAAACACAGCAGATGCGCAGTTCCACCAGATGTTTGCTAATTCCTGCTGGCTAGTCTGAAGGAGCTGAGTGAGGGAGCTGTGGGGAAGGCTTGCCTCTGTGAGGCAGAAACTCAGCCGCAGGCTGCAGCTGGAAGGAGGAGCTTCTGGACAAGACGGCCATCAGTGGGACCAAGCATTTTGCAAATCTGAATGGTTGCCATGGGAAATTCAATAATTTCTCAAACATGCATGAATGAAACAAAGCAACACTCCAGGTATGGTTTTCATGAGGGAATAACATTATAACATGATGTAAGGCTAAAAAAATAAATTATTTTACATAATACTGGCCCTTTAAATAATATTTCCAGTAACCAATATTTTTTTCCCAGAAGGCTGAGCATGGCTCCATGTTATAAAGCATTGCATTGTCTATCTTAAAGAATATTTCTATTAAAGTTTTTGTCACAAATGATCATTCTCCTCCAAATACAAGCAGATTGGCCTCATCATGGCACGCTCATATATGACAGAGTAGGATGCCGGTCTGCTGAGTCTCAAAGCCATTGCTTTGACGATATTTCTCTGAATTTTGTCGTATTTATAGAATCGAACCACCTTATAAATCTTCACTGCATGAACTGAAATCGTTACTTTTGCCTCAGGTAGACGTGGGTTATGAACCAGTGGCATTCCACATGTAGCTCTTTTCTCTTTCTTGAGCTGTTTTACATACTTCTCTCTGCTGGAGTTGAGAATAAAAATGACTATTGCAAGCTACAAGCTTGGAAACAACTGAAAAATACACAAAATGATGATTTGTGCCTTTTAAAGCTTTGCAGCACTTTGATCTTTGCAGACAACAAACCACCACCTGGAAATGATAACGTTCTGCAGAGAACACTGGAAAAAAATCTTACCAAGAGTTTTTAGTGCAATTACAAATGCAAACTTGAACTAACTTACAAATAACTTTTCAGTGAGCTATGGAAACTTAATATTGATAGACTGGCACATTACTTACAACATGGGAAAAAATGTCTTGCTAAAAGTGAAATAATTTGCCAGTGGCACTAATATTTTCTTAATTCAATATTAACTTAAAACAAGCTCCTAGATCTTGCTTAAA